GATACTTAATTAATTGTTAAAACTCAGTTGAACGCTATTTGCTGTTGAAACGTTACTTTTTATTGTTCAATGTCTAAGACTATCATCAATGTTTCTAATTGAAACCGAAATACATTTTTAATCCCATTGTTTCGATAACTTTTTCTTTATAAAATTTTTTCGAATTACATATATTTTTAATGTGTAAAATATTATTTTAAAGATAGTTTAAATATATAAAATTAAGTATCACAGTAATTTTTGCATAAATTTGAACACTATTATTTGTTTATTTTTTTCAATAAACAAATTAATCAAAATGCTTAACCTAGAAAATGTTTTTTTATATGAGCACAATATGTAATAAATTTTTACAATCAGCATATGTTGTAATAAATAAAAACAATACTGAAGTGCAAAATAGATTTTTTTAATTCAGCAAATCTATTTTACTTTATTTTTTAATAGTAAAATAACAATTCAAGTTACATTAAATATATTAAAAAAAGATAGAACAAATTTTGTTCTCTTTTTCTATGATTCTAATTTCGTATAAAATATCTTCAACATGAGAGTAATGAAAGATGTTAAAATCTATTTGAAAAAAAATAATTGTACAAAAAGGTTCTAATGGGGCGATTTTGCTTACCTACAAGACAAGTTTTTACTAAATAAATGTTCATCATTATCACTAAATTAATTAATTGAAACTTTTAACCTCCTAATTACACTTACTAAGACCTAAATATTATGCAAATGGTTACTGATATTTAAGCTGGGTCACAGTTTAAGATTTGAAACGTTGAGCGATAAAATATATTTGTTTGAGTGCAGTTTTAAGGTTAATTAAATTATGTAATTAAATGATTTTTGCTATAACGAACAGTTCGTACCAAAAATCCTAAATCGGAGAAGTTCAATATATATATATATATATATTTATTTAGTTTGGTAAACTTTAGTTTTGGGAATATTTTGCATCCAACTCAAAGGTTTTGAGGAGTAATTATACTCATTGTTTAAGGTTTTGTCAGTAATTTTTTTTTATACAGCAATCGGTATTATTAATATGTATTCTCTATTATTTCAACGAGAATTGTCTCATTTTAGTACAATCTTTCTTATTATTATTATTATTATATATTATTAAAGTAGCCAATTAGAAACGTGGGTTACTACGACAAAAATAAATGTTCATTTTACTGCTGTGGTCGCAAAAAAAAAAAAATGCCACTCGTAACGATTATTACAATGTTATCCAGGATGTAAAGTCGAGTCATTGACTCTTTTTATTTTTTCCTGGATAATAACCATGTAAGTGTATGCATATTACGTGTTGCGGGGAACAAGGAGAAGGTCTCGCGGCAAAGGGGTTGCCTGGCAGCCACACATCTGGACCGATGTTATGCAGAACGGAAATCCGGATGGGGGAAAATAATCGGTGTTTTTACATGCAGCGCATCTTGACTTTATCTGTCAGACCGTCTGCCCGACCGCCGCCGTTAATGCTCCGTGTGTTGATTTCTTCCTTCCACCGAAGAGCTTGTACGACCAGACGCGCGAAGGGATCTCTTAGTGTGCACGCACAGGGACAGATCATTGAACTTGACGACGGCGCGGCACGTGAACCCTTGCCGGTGTTGAAAAACTCGTAGCAACACGAGAACCCGACACCCGTCGGAGGCGGCCCAGGTGTGTGCGTATGCCGTCAACAAAAACCAACGTGTAGAGGAGGAGGCTGCTGCTGTGCTTAGCACCACCGGTTCCGAGACACCACCGCAATCCGCAAACCATACACACATGCGTGTCGTAACGGAATGGCGCAACGACATATCTGCCCTTGTGTGGTGGCGATAGAAAATAAAAACCCACTTGGTTAAAATCGTACGAATTTTTTCCAAACTACAATGTTTCGCGTTTACAATAATAACTGAAGAACTCGTGTGCCCCGATTTGTTATTTCAATTCGGATTGGGTTTTTTTTTATCCGTACTACGTTAAAAATATATATATTTAATAATAAGTTATTATAAATATAATATATATTATAATAACTTTTAATTTGTTATTTAATGTTATCTAAACTGAAAATAATTTCAACGATTTAAAAACCGATAAAAATTATTTTAATATGTATATTTTTGAATTGAAAATTATTTTTCGCTGTTACAATAGTGTGAATATTTTTATCTTTGCAACGCAAGTCCCCAGGCTCAAAATCTATAAATCAAGTATTTCGGATAACAATAAACAAGAACACAATACGTTTATTAGAATAGTTAATTTTTTTAAAAATCGTTATGCCGAGTATAATTTTGCTTAATCGCAGGTTTCGCACTCCGTTTCTAATTCATAAGTTAAACACCGACTTGATTTATGCGTTTTTCAAAATCTGCCGCCGACGGAAAACGTTTTTTCGCTATTTTTGTACATTCGCTGTTTGCAAATGTTTTTTTTTTTTTACCGCGTTTTTACATTAACGTATTGTGTACCTTGGACGTGAACTTGGCGGATAATTTTTCCTAAATTCTAAATTCGTTTTACGTGTAATTTTTTTGTTGATTTTTCAGTGCTAGCGCACGAGCGACACTGTGTATCAACAAGCGAATAAATATTCTAGTTCAAGGTGGAATAATTAATTCTATTATTGTTGGTGTACGCGTATCGCGGTTGAAATGACAAAATGTTAATATTGCGCACAGCAACGAGAGCACAATCGCACGAGTTATTGTGCACAACTCGTCTTGACGCCACCGTCGTCTCGTAAAACGCCATATGATAAATATGTCGACAACCACCGTGTAATTACAGATGACCCGGGGATAACGTACAGGTGCGCCTTTGTTGAGCGCATCGCGATAAAGCTCATTATACCCGTCGGCCAATTGCCGTTTTCGGGTGTTGAGCCGTACCAGCGTCGGGTACATGGCCATTGTTGTTAATTCACACGCAGCCTCTCCGCCGTCCCACCCCGGGATCTTGTCTATGTTAAGTTACGATTTTTTCTGTCCGATAATAACACGGCCAGAAAATCCTCCGCACTCGACACGCCAAACGGCTGCTCGAACGGCGTACAATGCAAATCGATGTTTACGCCTAAATTGTGTTGCCCCTATGCCCATTTGCATAGAAATGTACGCGAGACGAGGTCAAGAACCTCGGGAAATGTGCGTTTGTGATTGTTACAATAAAGTTTGTCACCGTCGGGGGATCTCCGCCGTGCACGGATCGTAGGCACACGGACGCATAGGCCGCCGCCGCCGCTTCCATAATAACGCCAAGAGATGGTTATTGCATCTCATGTATTTTGTACGGGCAGCGCATAATGTGTAAATCGGTCGGTGGCGGTTTCGAGATTTTTCCTAATATGAATAACACAACTGCCGTGTGTCGATCGCTTAATAATAATTATACACCGCGTTTTGGTCGCAACGGCGGCAAAGACAAATGAAATCACTTTTGTCACGCCGTGTACAACATGTTGTTTTTGACTTGTAATTTACTTGCCGTTCGTTTCTTTCCAAGTCTGTGTCACTTCAGGTGCGTTTTGTTTGCGCACCACGAGCGTCGATGTAAAAAAAAAATGTTCGTTCGTAAGGTTTACCGAATGTTTTAAACGATGTGCGGCTACACGGTGTTTTGTCGTAAAAAATTGGTTAAAAATAAATGTCAACGTGTATTAATAAGAAATAAACCGTCACGGTAGAACTTTGATGGTTCGCAACAACCGTTAAATGATATTAAAGTATACATAAAAAAGAAAGAGAACAAATGAAATTATAACCCAAAGTGTGGTGTGCCTCTTACGAAGGGTGTTGATATTTGTGGTTGGGTTTTTCGAACGCTTACTGTGTGTGCACAATTTGTTTGCAGGTTGGGGCTGAATAACTAAAAGCGTCATAAAAATTAAGCCCGTTTTAATTATGAAGATCATTTTGTTGATATTAGCGATTGCCGAAAAAACACTAAACATGACTTTAAATGGTTTTGTATTGTTTAACATTCAAATTAAAAANTTAAAAGCGTCATAAAAATTAAGCCCGTTTTAATTATGAAGATTATTTTGTTGATATTAGCGATTGCCGAAAAAACACTAAACATGACTTTAAATGGTTTTGTATTGTTTAACATTCAAATTAAAAAAAAAATGGTTTTTCTGTGCGTGCAGTCACGGTGACATTTTTAGCTCGGTACATATTGATCGAAGAGATCACACACAGATTGAATAGAAACAACAACTACTTGTATAGTTTCCGAAAGTTGGTTAAATATTTTGATCAACGCTGACACGAATTTATCGGCAGTTAATTGGAAAATGGTGTTTTAAAACATCCAGGAAACGATAAAAAATATTGTGTCAAAAGTTCATTGATTAAACGAACGCCACAATATCTGATGTTGCCTTCAGTTTCTCTGAATCAAAATAATGTATTTTATTTTTTTGAAAAATGTATCAAAAACTTAATACTTCGGTCGTTGACATGAACACATTTTTTTATTTCATTAATTATGTATTTAATAGAGAAAAAAAAATAAATTTTTCTAACACAATTGGTTGTAGGTTGCGTATAAAATATGCATGCTAAAGGTACTGATTAAACATTTATTGTTTCGCAGTTCTTCACTTCTCATAAAATATTTATTTTTACGAACCGAAGTAATAATTGGTATTAGATTTTTAGTAGGGTTCAATCGTTTCCCATTTTTGCCTTGTTATGTATGTATGTATATTTTTTTAGACGATTTTCAAACATTAAACGGTTACAAAACCCATATAATATTTCAGTAAGTTTAATGTTCTTGTTTTTCTTGCTATTTTTCATGCAAATGTTAAATTTCACGAACAAAGTAAACATACTTTGTGGAAAGTTCCACTTCAAAGGTAGAAATTTCTAAAAAAAAAATGCATAAAAAGTTTTTTTTAATTTAATAATATTTGATATTTCTTACGTTCCTTCGAATTTTATTATACGTGTATTATTATTATATTATTCATATTACAAAAAATTAATTTTTTTTAGGCTGTAAACAGATACACGGAGCTTTCCTTCGAATTCTTGGCAGGGCAAAACTCGGATAATTAACAGTTTTGAAACTTATTCAGTTGGTAAGTGTTTTATGTTAAATTTTAATTCTTCTACCTGGTTAATTATATTTTAAGCGATGGTATGTGTACAAAAAGGTTAGGATAGGCCATTTAACGCTACGCTATTATTAATATAAAATGTGAAAACTCTAATACCACCAAAAGGGTTCAGATTTGGATATCATAAATATGTACATAAACATTACGAATTTAACGTCATTTACGTCAGGTATCAAATTTATTATGATTTTTATTTTTTTGTACGACATTTTTTTCACAAGAAATTTAAAGATTCCTAAGTCGTACGGATATTTACTATAAAAGAAGCAGATATTGTTTTATTTATGTGCTAATGCATAGGCGCTCACATTCACTACTTTAGCATGTAAATGTATTGACGATATACATTTATTCATAGATATAAATTTAATAATTTTCGATGGTGGTAAATATAATTTTTTTTTTTTTTAAATACGCCAAAAAAACTCATAAATGCCAACGCTCAGAGCACACGTCCCTCTATGCGCTTCCGTAAGTACGTCTCTGTGTATCATAACAAAATAACCTTTTAAAATTTAATATAACTGGACAAGTGTATGATATGTGATCTGATGGTATGACATCATTAACGATTGATGCATCATTGACGCAATCAGAGAGGTCTCAGATCGAGACTCTCCTATGGACATATAATCATGATAGCGAGGGTAGTTGAGTAGTGAATCTCTCCATTACTATACATTCTACAAGCTATATGACATAAAAAATGTTTAATTACGCTATTGATATGCACCACTGTTGTTACGAACGTTACCACAATTGGGTTGTATGTAAAGAATTGCGCAATGGAAATCAATTTATTTTTTCGTCCAATGGTGTATTAGAACTCTATTTTTGGAACATCTTCAAAAATCAAGTATTTTTCCAAGGGTAATGTGTAATGGCGTGTTGAATTCCCTCAAAACACCCCTAAAAAACACTTGTTCTTATGAAGATTTTCCAAAAATAAATTCCTATCCTAAGGTAACTCCTATATTATCGTGTGTAAGTATTTTTTTCTTTTGTGTAATCTGCTCAATTTAATTCTAAGAAAATCTGAGCCCTTTGTGTATTAATTAGTGTTTGAAAATTTAAGAGAATAATAGCGTCCTTAGCTGTTCCTTATGAATGTTCCTTTGAACGATTTATAAAACAAAATGTTGTTAACAATTTCTCAATTGCCAACGTCATGATTAGGTATGATAGGTACCACCTTCTCATTTGACTGGTCACAAAATAAAAGTTTTTATTGCCCAAACCCAACCATCTATTATTGTTAATACTAATTTAGAAAATTTAGTCATTTTTTTTTCTTTTGTGTCCTCTCCTTACGGATAAATCATCCAACTTATCGATATCGTACCATTCGTGCATTTATAAAAATTATAGACGAAGTAATGAAACGGTAATCGATAGTTGGGTAAAAAGAAGTTCAAGGTAAGTTCCAGAAATTCATAAGGGAAAGCGAAGGGGTGAAACCGCTTCTATTTCTAATATCAATTAAACGAAAAGGAATTGTATTCAAGTCTTCAAGTTCAACATTGTGTTTTCCCCCCACGAAGTCGGCGTGTGGGCTCTGCCTCCCGCCTGCCCGTCCGCCATGGTGAGTGTGTGTGAGTGTGTGTGTGTGTGTGTGTGTAAACAGCGACGTCTGCGGCGTTTGTCGTACGTGTGTGAGTGTGTGCGCGCCGGTTGTTACCGCCGTCGGGTTGGCAACACTACAGTCCCGGGTGGCACGCACAAAGTGGTTCTTCCTCGCGTTCGGGGGCATTTTTCCGCACAGTCTTTTCGTCAGGCGCGCTCTTTGCACACGCCGGCGCTCCGCAGCAACGCTTTCGTTCGTTATTATTTTTTTTCGTTAATATATTTTTTCTTTATAGTAATTACCACTTTTTTCACTCTACCTCAATCGGTTCAAACGCTAGTTAAGCCGGCTTCAACATATTGAATTTATTATAATTAATATTACACGGTTATTTTTAATTCGGGAAAAAATTTGTAGCAAATTGGACATTTTTTTTACTGAAACAATTTTTTTTAAATCTAGTGTATACTGATAAAATATAAGTAATTTTAATTACCGAGTATTTTCAAAGTTTACTAATCGACATTTGTTCTACCGAGCAATAGATATGTGAAAATATTATATTCCATGGTAATATTTTCCCGCCAGTTAATTCATCTAATTCATTTCGATTAATTGGTAAGTGTATTTTTCATTCTATTATTGTTAAATATTTTATCTTAACAATATCGTTACAATTGTTTTTAAACGATTTTTTCAAATATACTAACCACCAGCATTACGTGATGCTCTCAAAATTTTGTTTTTAATTTTTTTTTTTTTTTTGAAAATTGTATTTCTACTTCTATTATTTATACAAGTGTTGGATTAAAAAAAAATTTCAAGCGTGTAACCATTTGAAAATAACACATTTTAAAAACTTATTGTGGTCTTAAAAAATAAATAATTGGATTTACGTTAGAATTTAAATTTGTACTATAGAAGAGTTCAGAATTTAACTATAAAGTTTATGAAATTTATTATTATTAGTATTAATTAAAACCAGAGAGTATGATTTTAATATGACTAACGATATTGAATTTATAATTATTTTAATCACTTTGAATGCATTAAAAAATACAGATAAATTATGTACAGAAAATTTTGGTTGGTTGATAACCTGTTTATTTAAGTATTTTGTTTAGTTGCATACATTGTTATGTATAGAATGGATGAATTGCGCTGGTTAGACGCTGCAACATTCCCTACCTTCTTTGAGTAAATCTTAGTGGGACACCCTGTATACATTTCTACACTAAGTAGGCCTAGAATGAAAATTAGTCTCGTGATTTTGTTGGACTGTAATTATTAAAGTAATAATTATTGTAGTCGTTCCATTGACCGGGCAGTGACCGTTGGGCTCAAGGTATCGTCTAAACTTATTTTTTTAACTGAAAATACTGAGACTTTTAAATCTACTGGTATTGTTTTTGAGAAATTGACACTAAATGCTTTAGAAATTTTTAATCGCGCCTATGTATATGTTCGATAATCATTCAAACTACGTTTTAATTGTGATTGTTACCTAATCACCTGCAACGAATTTATTTTTCTCCGTATCAAATATCACATGCTGCTAATGTGCGCATGTGTCACTTGCGCGAACAATCTTGATTTACCCCTTGAAATTATATTCTCCAATCTTTTGTAAAAGCCACTTTCCCGTCCTTGTCCATTGCGTGTGTTGATTAAAAGCCAAGGAAAACCGCAGTTTAGCAAACTCTGTTGGCGACAAGGCATTTAACCGACAAACGTTTCTGTATCGGCGCTAATAGCGCTCAAAAACCTCTAAAAAAAATTATCGTTATACATCGTCTTAGGACGTAGTGTTATGTTTTTTCGATATTTCAGTGTATCACACCGGTTGGAAATTTCTATAACTTACTGGCTGTACGGAGCCGTCTCAATAACATCGTGAAGGTTCCAAAACGTCGTTTACATATGATGTTCATAATGCATTTTAACCAAACCGGTACTTCTATACAGTGTACCGGCCAAAATATACAGACATCTTTCAGACCCTATCGAACACTCGCAACGTACGTTTTGTGAACGATTATTGACTCGGCCAATAAACCTATTTGAAAGATAAACGAACCGGGTGATATCAAAAGCAACACGCTTATGTGTTGTTCACGCTGAGATGGGAGTGACGTACACAGTGTTGGGCCGAAGTTTGTACGGCCAAAGAAAACCTTTTTGAGGCATACATTACTGAAATTCGGCAAACTTGCAGTTGAACGAAACGTGACATAGTCTGTTCGTTTGTTGCTACTCAGTTTATAATTACAGTACCTGATAATCGGTACTGTGTTCGACCGGTCGATATCACATGATCGTAAAAAACTCGACTTGTTCCTTTTCTAACCGATAGTTAGTATCATTGATTTAAGCCTATAATATTTTCTCGTTGTCTATTAGTTGTATAAATACCTCTTCTATTTAGTAACGCCCTCTACCGGGATACTTATATATTTTTAATCCTAACCCCGTTACGTTCTCTCCCGCGTCTTTCGTAGACTTTTCCGGACTACCGATTAATATTGTGCTTGTGTTTTATTCTGTTTAAAAAAAAAAAAATACTGTTGAACATCCCACATAATGAGCTCTTATGAATTTTGACAACCGTCTGTGCGTGTGCCACAACGGTTCCTTGATGAATAATTTAATCAAAAATTATATACATGTATCAATTCATGATCAAAGTCCAGTACTAGTAAAATACTAAAAACGAACTTCAATTATAAATCATCAGAAAATTTGAATGAAAAAAAAATTGCATTCAAATTTTTTCATAGGCATTTCGTATGTCATTTTATTGTTTATCAGCTCGTGCTCAAGTTTAAAAGATTATAATGGAAGAAACTGCCGCCATAATAATAAAAATATCAAAATTGTCATTTTGTGTGAAACACATAAGAGAGTTACTTTTATGGCAATATTTTATTTTATTTACGAAAAACACGATAAAAAACGTATAGACAGAATTTACCTATTAATTGAATATAAATTATGATAACATCTCCGTTGAACTTGCACGTAAATTCAAATTGACTAGAATAACTCGTTAGTGCTCCTGTGTAGTGTGTGTGTATTGCCTATGGGACGATTTGTGTTGAATAATCCCATTTGATATTGTCTATTATAGTGTAGAACTATCTAATGTACATTTATAATCTACAAGTGGCGTGTTTGATTTACGGTCACCAATAAAACTAGTATTGACACACGAGTGTTGTATATCGGACTGTGCAAATGAATGGATTATATAATCCGGCTATTCATTTGTTACCTGTTGTGCAGGCGTTTGGTTTTGTCAAGATTTATTTATTTAGATTATGTCGACCCGAAGACGTCCAAACTTTTTTTTAAATACATCTCTCGATTTTCTCTCGGTCGGTGAGGGGTACACGAGTAA